TACATATTTAACTCACAGTCATACAAATGTAAGAGAGAAACTCGTTTGCCATAGGTGGCTTGGTTTCTTTCTGAGTTGAGTTGGAAGCCAGATGACACAAATGCCCTTTGACTGAGGTGCCACTGATCACGTGATCTGGGGCAAGTGTTTGGTGCCTTCGTTTTTCCATCTGTGAGACTATAGCTTTTTGTGCACCGCTTTGTCTTTCAGTTTACAGACACATACTGTTCTCTGTCTTACCCTCTTTCTCCTTCTCATTTGCTTAAGATGTTCTTTAATCTCTTTAGTTCTTCAGATGAACTTTGAGATGACTCTCAAAACGGTACAGGGCTGTGCTATTTTTTGTAGTTCCTCTTTAGGCCCTTGGTAACCCTGTTCAAGAGTTTCCATCCTTGTGAGAAAGTTTTTGAAATCCCAGGGATATGTCTTTGCTAAGTGATCCCCTGAGGAGCCACACAGTGCTTGCCTTCCTCTGTTCTATTCTTAATTTATTTGTTTCTGCCCTTCAGTAAACAGTAAAGTGGATGAAAGTTGGCTTGTCATATGGTTTATGTTTGGTTACAAGTGCTTGCCCTCTCCTCAGTTCCTTTTTTGTCCGAAGTGATGGAGTCTTGAGACCTGGAATGCATCAGCCCTGCTCGTCATCTGCAGCCGATTACCTGATAGGACGACAGGAAGGTTTGCTAAGACAACTTTAGGAACGGATATAAGATCCTTAAATATCAGAACCTTTTATAGCAAAGGACAAGTTGCCTGAGCTTGTAAAATAGATGGTGTCGAGTGTAGCTAAGCTAAGGAGCACAACACCCTGTGTGTTGTTGAGCGAGCACATGAACTTGAATAGGAACCCTTCTTCACATATGGAGAAAGGAGAACTGCCTTGTGCCACAGAGTAAGCCCTGGCAATCCCCTAGACAGGATACTTCCTGCTGCTAGCATCTGGAAGGCAGGCGGCCAGGTCGGGTTGATTTGACCCTCTATTACTCTGGACTTTAGTTTCCTCCATGGTGAAATGAGGTTAGATTTCATTTCTGGTTCTTCCAGCTCTGAGAACTCAACATTGAAAGCATAATTGTTCTTTTGATTTAGAAGCAAATTCATTCATTCTCAGTATGAATGGGAAATATGTTATTCATGGAGCATTAAGAAGAAATGCACCTCTTCTTCAAGTGACGTTTGTATGTGATGAACACTTATCACTGACCCAAACGCAGTGACTGTTACCGCTAGTACTTGTGATGGATAATACTCATTTATAGGACAGGAATAAGGATTTGCTCCCAAACCACACAGTTAATGGAAGAACCACCATGTGGCTGTGTGCTACTTCAGAGTTTAAATCCATTTGTATTGTTATTATTACTGAAGTAAACTACTCGGGCTTGGCGCTGCAGCCTAGTAGCTAAAGTTTCTGCCTTGAACACGATAGGATCCCATATGGGCACCAGTTCTAATCCCGGAGGCCTCGCTTCCCATTCAGCTCCCTGCTTGTGGCCTGGAAAAGCAGTTGAGGACTGCCCAAAGCCTTGGGACCCTGCACCCATGTGGGAGACCTGGAAGAAGCTCCTGGCTTCCTGGTTTCAGATTGGCATAGCATCGGCCGTTGTGGCCACTTGGGGAATGAGTCATTGGACAGAAGTTCTTCCTCTCTGTTTCTCCTCCTCTCTGTATATCTGACTTTACAATAAAAATAGATAAATTCTTAAAAAATAATAAAAAACATACTTCTCAGTAGTGGCCATGACTTGTAGACTCAATGCTTTTGAAATAATGTGTTTGAAAACATATCTTCCGGGCCAGCCTAGCAGCTAAAGTCCTTGCCTTGAATGCACCGGGATCCCGTATGGGCGCCGGTTCTAATTCCCAGCAGCTCCACTTCCCATCTAGCTCCCTGCTTGTGGCCTGGGAAAGGAGTCGAGGGTGGCCCAAGGCCTTGGGACCCTGCACCCATGTGGGAGACCTGGAAGAGGTTCCTGGATCCTCACTTCTGATTGGCATAGCATCAGCAGTTGCGCTCACTTGGGGAGTGAATCATCGGATGGAAGATCTTCCTCTCTGTCTCTCCTCCTCTCTGTATATCTGACTTTCCAATAAATAAATAAATTTAAAAAAAAAAGAAAGAAAATATATCTTCCATGCAAAAAAACTTGAATTCATGTCATAGTTTTGTCCTACTTTCCATAGGAGAGCTGCATGTTGTTGGAGCTTGTAATGTGGATACAGACTTGTGGCACGTGTTTCAGGCATGACTTACAATTATTGTATTCATAGCAGACATGAGCAACCATTTTCATTTCTCTTCCCAGGTCTTTCCAGAAATGGCCATGAAGTCAATTGATTAGTGTTGACTTATGAAATGAATTCGATATCCATTCTTAATTCTGTTCATTTGATTCCATTGTGGACACAATTGCCACAGTTAGATTAGAATACCCATCATGATGGGAATGGCAGTGGCTGAGAATCATTGATCTCTTGCTGAGTATCAGGCATGTCTTATTGAACCATTTCACACACACTGTCTTTGAGCTGACAAATTGGCACAAGATGGTTAATTGAATTTCGCATGGATTGAAAAATTCATAAATAGCAATCTCAGGCCTGTCTAACTCCAATTCTGTTCTCTTTGCAGTGAGTTGGTCTCTTGTAAAAAGATTCAAGAAAGCATGCTTAAGGCAAATGTAGCAATCACTTAATGCCTGCTTTGCTCAGCGGGGTTACTTCTGCTGTTTTCCCAGTTTTCAGTTTACTATTAGACATTTTTCTCAAATCTGCAGGATCTCGGGACTGTTTTACTGTGGCTCTAAGCTGTGTTCTGAGTTGTCTTCTCACTAACTCTTAGAGATTTGAAGCTCACCTGGAGGTTTCTTAGTGCTGCTCACCCACCAGAGTACCTCCTAACTCTTCTGCTTGCCAATCCTTCAGTACGGACTGACTTGCTGCTCCCTTCCGGCCTTGTTTTTATTTTTATTTAAATGGAGCTGACCCAATGAGATTACCAAAGTGTTGTTTTAAGCCCAGATAATAGGGACATTCCATTCTAAATCATTGTTAAATATTATTTAAAGATGAGATTCTTATGTGGAACTATTGAGAGTTTTCAAAAACTCTATTTCTTCATCTATTGTCATACTTGATTTTTATTTTCAATTTAGAAACATTGATACTGATTATTATAAAAGAAAGTTAAAATTTTTTAAAAGATTTATTTATTTATTTTTGGAAAGCCACATTTACTGAGTGAAGGAGATACAAAGAGAAAGATCTTCTGTCTGCTGGTTCACTTCCCAAGTGGTGTCGATGGCTGGAGCTAAGTTGATCCAAAATCAGGAGCTTCCTCTAGGTCTCCCACGCGGGTGCAGGGTCCCAAGGCTTTTGGTTGTTCTTGACTGACTTCCCAGTTCACAGGCAGGGAGCTGGATGGGAAAGTGGAGCTGCCGGGACACAAACCAGTGCCTATATAGGATTCTGGCATGTGCAAGGCGAGGGCATTAGTCACTAGGCTACTGCTCTGGGCCTGCTAATACATTTTTGAATGTTAATAATATAAGGCTCCATTTTAGGAGGAATAAGAAAATGTGTGCAATTTGATTTTTATTTTAAGTATTTTCATATGTAAAACTGGATGACAATGGCATTCTTTCCATTTTCTTTATAATCATAAACTCAACGCTCCAGTAAAGAATTTTATAAATAGTAAGTAGAAAAACTGTATGTCATTGTGAAAACTAAAACAAAAAAAAAAAAAAAGAAAAGAGAAAAAGATGTGGGAGAGAGAGAGAGGGATAGAGGGTAAGATAAAAGATACTATTCTCTAAAACTGTTTATGTGAAATACGTGAAAATTGTTTCCTTTATATAAAAATAAAGTGTGAAGAAAAACTAGATATCATTATTAAGTTAAATGTTTATACAAAGCCTAAGTTTCCAAGAAATATAGGGGAGATTGATATGAATATTTTCCTATTGTCCAGATGGGCATATGTCTGATGCAGCTGAGGCTGATGTTTTATTTACTAAGGTAAAGGTAGAGTTGTAGGGAAAAAGAAACAGAGATCCTCTGTGTGTAGGTTCACTGCCCAAATGCCTACAACTGCAAGGGCCAAGCCAGGCTGGAGCCAGGAGTCCAAAACACCATCTGGATCTCCCACATGGGTGGCAGCGACCCAGTTAGCCTGAGCCGTCAGTAGGTGTCTCCAGGGTGCACGTTGGCAGTAAGCTGAACCAGAAGTGGAGTGGGAACTTGAGTCTGTGCACTCCAGTATGGATGTTGAGGATCCCAATCAGCAGTGTAACGGAGGCACCAGATGCCCACACCTGAAACTGCTGGGTTTTTTTGTTTAAACAATAGTTTTTTTCTTTGTCCAAATATATACCCATCTTATGTGGAAATAAGGAGGTACCACTAAGTGGCAAATAAAATTGATGAATCTCTTTTTCTTTTGCTAATTAACATGAAGCAGGTGATGAAGTTTTAAGTTTCTTCTTTGGGAGAAAGGTTGAAGAAGGCTGCTATTTTCCTGAGCCTGGTGTGAACCTGCACTTTTTTTTTAATAAACATCAGTGTTGGGCTGATACCAGCTTTTTTTTTTTTTTTAAGATTTTATTTATTTATTGAAAAGTCAGATATACAGAGAGGAGGGAAGGTAGACATGAAGATCTTCCATCCGATGATTCACTCCCCAAGTGAGCACAACGGCTGGTGCTGTGCCGATCCGAAGCCAGGATCCAGGAACTTCTTCAGGGTATCCAATGCGGGTGCAGAGTCCTAAAGCTTTGGGCCGTCCTTGACTGCTTTCCCAGGCCACAAGCAGGGAGCTGGATGGGAAGTGGAGCTGCTGGGAATTAGAACCGGCGCCCATATGGGATCCCGTTGCGTTCAAGGCAAGGACTTCAGCAGCTGGGCCACCTTGCCAGGCCCAAACTTGCACTTTTATGTTGTTTGTCCCAGAACTTTCCTGAATGCAGAGTGATGTGATGGCAACTTCCTTCCATTGCAGGATGTTTCCCACAGGTCGAATGTGGAGCTGCCATTGGAAGTGGAAGCCGGGTGCCTTTCTGTCCCTAATTGCTGTGTGCATCATATGTACTCCTCATGCAGGTAAGACTTCTCGCTTAAAAATATGTTACAGAATAGTTATTACAAAATCTTTAGGAAAAGTTTAGTAATGATTTCAAAGTTACCTCATTCTTGTCCCCCACCCCCAAAACTCCCAATTTTTACAAGATTCATTCTGTGTATGGCCTCTGTCCTCTATGAGTTGAGTGTGAATACTATTACTTTGATCTTTGTTTTGTTTTCTAATGAGTTTATTCCTTTAATCTCTGCTGTCTCTTAGTTTTATTTATTTATGTAGTACATATTGAGTGATGAGATAACTGCATCATTCACTTTAGGAAAGTGCTAGTTACTTATTACTGAATAAATATACAACAGTTCTTTCAAGTTTTCAAATAGCTATTTATAGCTATTTATAGAAAGAATAAACTGCTATTTTCATTCATCTTCATTTTATAGCTGTGTTGCAGTATGGAATATGATTTTGAAATTAGGCTACACAGTTTATTTCATTTACTTAGTATAAAGGTTAATTTTAATTGTTGTCTTATTTGAGTCACAACATTTTTGTAGTTCCAGTTTTTCATGATCTTTGAAATGAGAGCATCATGGCTATTGAAAATCAAATTTCTGTAAATAGCTAATTATAGCCAATCACAGACTGAAGAATATGGTGTCTGAAAGTAAACTATTCTTTATTTGGTTTTGTTGCTGAGAAAACTTTTATTTCTTATGGACATTCTATTTTACTATTTATTTTCTCCTGTGTTTAGTAAATTTATTGCATTTTCTTTTCAAATAAAATGTCAGTTAAGGAAATCATTATTCTTGAAGTCTTATGCATTGTTCCTTGGGATTCAATCAAGATTTATAAATTGCATATTTATGTCTGGTAGTAAACGTGATATAGCTAAAGAACAATGGAAATAGTTTGTCTGCTAAAATTGCATATGCATGACTCAAAACAATTCTGCTTGTGTTTAATATGCAAATACTTTTTCTAGCTACCAAATGATTTCAGAGTTAAAAAATCTTTTAAAAGTTGGTAATTTCTCTGATAGTTATTGATGGCTTCAAAACAGCTGATCCTCAGTGAGTTTTTGTGTATTTCTTAGAATTTCATAGTGAAGTCACTCTTCCTGGTGCTGTCATTTCCAGAAAGAGGAAACATCCCTGGAAGGAGACCTTTCACTGACTATTCTTTAGGTTTATTGATGTTCAGAGTTGAACTATGTTCTTGACTTTCAGAAGTGATCCTTTAAATATCTCACACAATTTAAATGAGTTGATATTAAAATTAGTTGAGGTCTGCTTACTTTCATTTTTGTTTGCTCAACCATTTTTGGATTTTCATGGCTTTTTCAAACCAAAGTTCCTCAAAATGAGACTTTGATTTTAGAGGTCAATATTTTAATTGCTATATGTGCATTCTAGATCTTTGGTCATTTGTGTCAATGAAATGGAACATATGTTTTGTGGCTTATTAAAAGGAATCCGTTGGATTGGGACCAGTTGAGGCAAGAGAAGCACTGGGTGCCAAGTTTGCAGAGGCATGCTTAGGTTGTGGGAACAAAGTGTCTACATTGGTTATTAATTTGTTCTCTCATTCTCTCACCTGCAAATTTCCTTCATTCTTCTTAAAATTTCCTTGGCTAAGCAGCTCTTTCTGTGCGTCAGGTGATGTTCTGTTTTGATAGTTTTACTATTTGCCCCTGAAGCCAAGATGCCTTGTACCTTTATCTCTCTTAGATATGACTCACTGAAAATGTCACCACCTCATACATTGGTATCCGAACAACAAAAACAGTTCAGAGGTTACTATTGGCATTTCCATATCAAATTTTTGTGTGATAACTCAGCATGGTGTTTCATAGGATGAACTCATGAGACATTTTAACATAATGAGTTTGCATAGATCTAGTTTTTCAAATCTTGCGAAAATCAAAGTAAAGTACTATTGCAGGAGTATTTCTGAAGAATAAGTGTTGTTTAACTCTGCTTGTATAGCATTACGTATACTTTCTTTGATATATTTTTACTGCATGATTGGCCCCTGGAAAAAGTATGGTAACTTGAGGTGGCATCTTGATGCAGATGTTTCCTGATCCTTTATACTGCATTCTGTTCCCTTGCTGGACCCCAGGTCACCATGGGTCTCACCTAGCCTTGGGTGTATAAGAGGTCTCCAATTTCACGTGTGTAGGCAGGACATTGGTTACTACATCTTATCACCAAATGAAGTTCTCAGTTTTTAGAGTTCATCCCCCATCCTAATGTTCTAACTCTATTTGTTAGTCACATGATCCTTTCTAGTCCTTGACCACATCTTCCTGGTACTGTCTTCTGACTGATGGCTGTGTGTTAATCTTCTTCCTAGGAACATGCTAATTGCTTTTAAATCTCTGACCGGTTCATTATTATCACTTATGAAATCTGTCCCTACCTTGCAGAACACAGGAGTCCCACTCTGACTCTTTCATATAATCCTTAGTGGAAATCTGTATATATTTTGGATGTTCCCTTCATTGTTAATGTTTTTGTTTTAATTGATTTGACTGTTAGACCAGGCTGGAGGATTGACAAACCTTTTGTGATTAAGTTTTGCCCTTAGTTCTGATGACTAAAAGTTGGAATCCTGTAGTTCAATTTGGACAAATCCAGAGTTTAATTCATGTAATAGAATTTCAATTTTTTATCTCCAAGTAAGTTAATTTTCAAGATTTAATAATATATAAGATTTGTTACTTTCAGAATTTTTAAGAAAATAGTATAGAAAAGCAACTCATTGTGTGTTGATTAATACAATTTTCAGTAAGAACTACAAAATAATTGAATATTTAAGTTGGTTCAGGTCAAGTGAAATGGCTCAGTGGCTAAATCCTCACCTTGCAAGTGCTGGAATTCCATATGGGTGCTGGTTTGTGTCCTGGCTGCTCCACTTTCCATACAGCTCCCTGCCTGTGGCCTGGGAAAGCAATGGAGGACAGCCCAAAGCTTTGGGAACCTGTACCTATATGGAGACCTAGAAGAAGCTCTTGACTCCTGGCTTCAGATTGAAGCAACTTTGTCCATTGCAACCACCTGGGGAGTGAACCAGTGGATGGAAGATCTTCTCCTCTGTATCTCCTCTCTACAAATCTGCATTTCCAATAAAAATAAGTAAATCTTTTTTTTTTTTTTTAAAGAAAGGATTCTACAGAATTGTAACACAATTTGCTGATAACAATCTAATTGAAGTTGTTGGAGAAAAAGGACATTTTAATATATGGTTGGCTTTGTCTTTAGAAGAATTGGGCAATATGTTTTAAAAGTTAAGAATGCGTATATTGTTTCACGTGTCTCTCCCATATGCAGGCATTTATCCTATACAAATAAAAACACTAATGTAGAGAAAATGTCTGTTAAATGCAGCATTGTAGTAGCACAAAATTAGAAAAGCCTGTTTATTAGCAGGTGAATTGTACATTCCAGATTTTGGTCATTTGTATCAAAGAAATGGAACACATTCTTTTATTAAAAGGAATTACATATTCATACTCTGAAATACCCTTTAGTTCTTCCAAACAATGTGGGAACACTGCATATTATGTTGGGAATATGTTCATAATGATGTTAACCTAAGCAAATTGTCAAACCATTGAAGGTAATTTCAGATTTGCAGTAGGTTATATATACCATGTATACTTGTTTACAAAAGACTATAAATTATATGTATGAATAAAACATGGAATGGTACATGCCTGGTGTTTAAAATGGATTTTCTGCAAGGGCGTTTTGCAGAGTGAGAAGGGGGAAGACAAGGGGACTTTATTCAGCTGTAAATGTTTGCTATAATATCAATAGTATGTGTTATTTTAGTACTTTGAAGAAAGAACCTTAGCCAGTTGTTTGTGTTTTAAAGAAAGGCACATCAAGCATTGGCTGAACAGACTATTCAGATGGATGCTTATATTAATTTTCTGTTAGTTACATAACTGTTACTCTGGTTGTTTCTTTATATGATCAGAATCTCTAAAAGTTGTTTTCATAATAATCTCTTTCTGTGTCAAGACACTCCATTGCTGTAGATGCACCGTGTCTGCAACAGTTACAACTTCATGCAGAGTGGGAAACAAATGGTCCAGAGCCAATGAATTCCCAAGCAACCAGGCGCCTGTTTTCCCACAGATAGCCTTAGTCATGAACATGGAGGGAGGAGCCTCCACTCTATCCTTCTCTCCTGAAAATCAGTGATATCAGCAGATTGTTTCAAACACAGTGTCATTCTGATATCCATGAGCTGTCAACAGCTAAAAAGGCAAATGTTTCCAAAAGTACAGTCTGGTCTGAGTTATGTGCTTTCTAATATGGAGTAGAGCATATTTGAGAAGGCCAGTCATTGGGCAGAAAGCATTTTCTACCTTTTGTTTTGTGTCTGTTGGTTTTTGTCATTATAGACTGAGTAACGATTATTTAGTATCAGTGATATGAAATATGTGTTTAAGTGTTAAGTAGATACTTTGTGCATGTTTTGATATTATATCAAAAGAATTTCAAAAGCCTAGGAAAATAGTTCTTTTATAAATCCTCAAGGCTTTTCCAGCCATTTTAATATTAATGTGTGCTTAAAATGACTAAATAGATCCACAAGGTTAGAAAGGAAACGGAATATTTTACATTTCACAACGAATGTGTGCATATATGTGTATATCTGCCAAACGTTCCATATCCCTTTCTGAAGCTTCCAGCTGAAGGGCTGCTTTCCCTGAAACCCTTCAGATTAAAGGAACCAATGTGATGGAAATAATACAACTTAGAAAGTTGGGTAAAGATGTTTATTGGAGGCATCTTTCCAGATCATTTCCTTTGTGTACCTTTGGGTGATCTAAATTAAATGTGGCAAAAGGTAAATTCTTTCATTAGGAATCTGATACATAAAAATTGACTGGGGGTCTCACCTACAGAGTAAGTAATCATCTTGAGGGACCTGGGGCCATGTGTGAAACTGAAACTTGGTACGAATGTACAGAGCCACATCCTCAGTGGTCAGATAAGACTTGCCT